TGTTGTTTCTTCTGGACTGCATTAGGTCTTTGTGCTCTGAACTTTATTTTTCACACTTACGCTTGCACATGTATGTTCTTACTTTGTGTAAAGCTGGTTTTTTTTATTTATTTATTTGTACTTTTATTATTATTTTATTAGCTTCCGCACTGTGCACATGGTTACGTCACTTCCACGTGACAGCCAACATGCCCTGATCTCGATCGGGGTGTGTCAAAAACTTTATGCAAAAACCACAATAAAAAATTGATTAAGAGTTCAATACCAAGACAAATAATTCATCCATAAAATATAAGGTAAGTGATTTTCACACAATTTTTCTTCCGTTGCGCAACTATGTTTATTTCTAGCCGTAGAAATAAGTCCACCAAGGCCACAAATCCCTTCCAATAAATCCACCAAGGCCACAAATCCGAGCTTTTAAAATTTGATCAAACGGTTACAAATAGGAGCTCACTTTAAAATTTATAATAATTTTAGCCGTTGGATCAAATTACCAAAAGAATAAGCTTGTCTCACTAGATATGCGCTGAAACTTTAGTCCACAAATCATCTCCATAACGTAAAATGGCAGGTTTGTGACAATATTAACCCTAACTATACCTCACAATTTTTATTTGATTACACTAGCATCCCTTGATGTTTTCTCTGTGAGTAATGTTAGGAAGACTAAATTTGTAAACTAAATAATATGTCACCAATAGGAATGAGTACATTTATTAACGCTTAAGTAATAAATCAATCAATCATCAACTTCTATATCATTTAGTTTCCAAAATTTTGTCTACAAATTTAGTCTCCCTATCATTACCCTTTCCGTGTTCACACAAATCCCTTTAGGTTTATAATAATACCCCTTGAAGTTTCATATTGTTTCCATGAAGCCCATTCCGTGAAAATTTCATCCCAAAATGGATTATATCTTTAAAAAATTCTCCACAAATTTCTTATAGTTAATCACATAGATTTCACATAACCCCTCACATTCATTGTTTTTTCCACAAAACTCCCTAAGCTTTTGTAAATAAGAACTCCTAAAGTTTTAAGATGCTTTCATATATAAATCATTAATTATAATGTAGTGTGACATAAGTTGTTCAAGAGCAAAAAGAAAATCTTTTAAAGTGAAAAAAAAAAAAAACTTTTAGCTATTGCTGTTGATGCTAGAAAATGGTTAGTCATCAAAGAACTTGTGTGGACACAAGTAGTTGAAACAGGTCAGATGAACCATATCCTAAGAGATAGTTTGGTTCACCTGTAATCGAGCTACATCCACTATGGTGTATTGATATTTGTGTGTGTATTACAATAGTTTTGAGTCCTTACATACGTAGGGCAGCTTATTTCTCAAGGAAGGTCATGTTTGTGGCCTCATAGCAAAGGTGATGTGGCCTCTTCCAATCCAAAAAATTTTCGTATGTTATTGTATGTATTAGTTAAGGACCTTAGGAATCTACGGATCGGAAATCCGATATACGGATTTTCCGGATTGAAGGAAATTGTAGATTATTTACCTTTGTAGTAGACGAAGATCTGACTGTTCGATCATTATGAATTACCATATGTTGTTATAAGTATCATTTGAGAACCTTAGAAATTTACAAATTGAAAATCCAACCTCTGGATCTTCTCGAATTGAATTTGTAAGTTTGTCGAATTTATAAAAAAATAAAAAGAGACTAAATGTGACATGGAGGACTATTTTTAGTTTTTAATCTTACGTATTATTGCAAAAATTATCTTATTTAGGGATTAAAATAATGTTCTTTTATTTATCAAATTATACATATACTAAAACCCAGTTTCGTAGGCACTGTTTTTCACTGTTCTGAACAGTGAAAGGGCGGAAATGCCCTGGAGTTTCTCCTTTGGATCGCTAGTGTTTCCTTTTTTATACAGTAAAAAGTCTCTTTTGCCCTTCCCGGTCACGCGTCTTTCATCTTTGTTTTTCTACTTTACCTTTCCTCTTTGTTTTTACCTTCCTTGCTGTGCGATTTTCTCCCTCTTCATCGTTCCCTCTTTTGCTGCCAAATCTTTGCTCTTTCTTCGCAGAATAGTCGTTAGAAGAGATCCTGACTTTAATTTTATTTTGGATTTGGTTTCGGGTCTTCTCCGGTGTGCAACCCTTTGTTTGATTTTATTGGGCGTTTTGTTTCCGGTCTTCTCCGGTGACGAACCCTTTGTTGGCCAGCGTTTTGTTCTCATCTTGCCATCGTCGGTTTATGAAGAGCATGTTTGTAGGTTGATAAATTATGAAATCTATGAAAACTGGGCAGATTGATAAATTACATACGTGCTCTTTATTTGTAGAATTATATACTTTATTTGATGCATGTTTGTAGAGCCAGTTTTAAACAAAAACACCTAAAAAATTCTCCCAGCAAGTAGTTAGCAATATTCCTGACTTTTCCAGTTCTGAAAACAATTAGATGCATACAAATTTATTCCTGCTTATTGTTGTTTTACAGCATAACCAGCTTTTCTGTATAGCATGGCCTCCAATCATCATTCATTTGAAGGTACACCATTCTTCCACTATCTTTTATTTATTTTGATAAAATTATCTCTCATATGTTTAACTTATTAACAATAACACGGTTTCATGTACTAACTAGCTACCAGGGTGATTGCTTTTTGTATGATTTCCATTATTTGAAGTATCTGAGTAGATTTTTGTTCGAATTAGAAAAATCAATTTAAACTCAAGCTTCTTTACAAGCTTGAGAAGAGATTTTAGTCTTATAATAGTTAATAATTAAGAAACAATTAGAGTCATACATGTACTACACATATTGCTAACTATCCTAAACCAAAAGTGTTGTCGTTACTGCTTAAACATACCAATCAGTCTACATTCTGTGAATGCATATGATGACTGAGCAGTTTAACCCTCAATTATAATCTCATTTGTAAAGCTTTTGCTATCCCAACTAATACACACCTGTAATTTTGTATTTACACCATACTAAAACATTATCTTTTTCATATGTTCAATCAAAATTTTATCTAATGTACATTCCAAAAGACAAATGTGCAAAAATTTGATCACATCGTATAACATTGCGAGCAAAAAGGTCATTCCCAAATCATGCAAAACCAGCCTTCTTTCCTGCACAAAAAAATGGGTAAACACAATCTATCCTTATTTTATTCATGATATCAGGTAATTAAAACTAAAATATCTTTTTTATGAACACGAATCAGCTTCTTTGCCCGCTAGGTCCATTGTTCATGTCTTTATAGAGATTTAATACTCCTCAATTTGGGATTTCTGTGTTGTAGATTTTGCAACAGCGGTTGCATGGGAAGCAGGGAAGCTGTTGGTGATGGAGAGGGTGAAGGTTGCTCTACCTAAGGCCATGGAAATGAGGATAAAGGTCAAATATACCTCAGTTTATCACATTGAACTCTACTTCTGCCGAAGGTCTGCAATAATATCTACTACATACATATAATATACATTATATATATATATATATATATATATGATTTTATATGATTAAGCTTTGAGAATTGCAGATTTGTAAACTATGAGTAGAGTTTTCCAGGCACATTTACTTCGAATGAATACATTGTTGTTCATTCTGGCCGTCTTTCCAAAATCAAGCCCCTTGCTCAGTTGGACAAAGTTTGCATCCTTAGTTGTGCCATACCAACAGGTTTGGTGTCGTACTCAATGCTTTAAAGCCTTGAATTATGCATCCTCAACTGATACTACATATTAAATCGTTTGCATTATTACTGAATATTTTGTTTTTTACTATCAGGTTTGGGTTCCCCTCTCAATGTAGCAAAACGAAAAATTATCCTCAGTTGTTTATCGGCCTCGCTGTAAGTTTGGACAAACTTTGTTGATCCCAAATTCTTTGTTCTAATAAATTGCATTTACTTTTTTTTTTCCGTATTTATACTGATACATGGATGATCTAGGCTACTAAAGGTGGAAACATTTCTGAGGTGCCAGAGTATTGGGGTGGAGTCGGTGGACTTGAAGCCCAAGAGGTTTGACGAAGGTATTTATCTTTTATTTTTTATTTTTTATTTTTTATTTTTGACGTTTAGCTTTGGTTTAACAGGTAGTTTAACGGGAAAACATAGAAACATATTTTTGCTTAAACATTCTTTCCCTGGCCATAACTAAGAAATTTGGAGTAAATGAATATGTGAATTCGAGTGACAATGACAAACCAGTGCACAAGATGAAAAATGATTCGCTATTCTTATTATGTGTTGGACATGAATCAACATAGATAGTTAAGTTGTAACTTTAACTTATATTTTTATTTTCTTCTGCTTCTCATCTACCCAAGTCTACAATGTACATACATCTAAGGAAAAGACCGAGACATCAACCAGTGCAGAAGCTCCTGATAGGACTAATTGCAGATAGCACTACAAATGAGCACTACAATTTTAAGCTTGATGGTGGTATGTGATTTCCACTCCATCTCATCTCTTTCTTTTTTTAATGTTAGTTTAATTTTCAAACCTTTTGTACGTATCAAGTAATTCTCCATATAATTGAATAATGGCCTTTTTTTTGTTTCTCTTTTTCACTCTTCCATCAATTCATTGGTTAAATAGATTGAAAAAATTTAGTTTTTTTATATTCAATTCTTACTGATTCCAATTCTTAATATATAGCAAGAGAAAAATTCTGGACAAAGCAAAAAATAACATGATGACCAAGAAAAAGATGGTCGTTCCCAAACAAGCAAGACCAAAAGATTGACCAGGAAAAATCATAAACACTGAGCAGATGTGTGGTGCCAAGCTTTTGATATGGACATGAATATTTTTCGTATTTGAACGATTTTGATATTATGAACTTCTGTACATGAATATAGCTTTCATAGCATCTCTATCTTTAGACCAGTGAGGAATTGCACACTGCCAATCTCTATCTTAGGTATATAAATCTAATTTCAATAAATCCTGTTTTCTGTCTGTACATATTATCAAAATATTTTAAACATTCGCAGCAACGCGCGGGCACTTTCGTTAGTTATTATTTCTATACTAAAACCCAAATGCCAGTGTACTGTTCACGGACAGTGGAGTGGCGAAAATGCCCTCCAACTTTTTTCCCATCAGCTTTTTCTACAGTACAATGACGATTCTACCCTTGGCAACCACGCGTCTGTCATCGGTGGTTCTTCCGCTCCAGTTCTACTCCGCCTTTTCTTTGGGTTCCCTTCTCTCTCTCCCTCACCATTTTCAGCTTTTCCTTATTTTGGAGCCTAGGTTTTTTCTCTCTCCCACGCCTTCGTTGTTCTCGCTATCCGTCCTTCGCGTCTTTGTCTCGCCGATTATTCACGGCCGTTTTCTTCTCGGAAAACTAACGATCTCTGGTGAGTTTTTTGCGTTTCTTGCCGTGTCTAATTTCAAATTTTTTTTTTTTCGTTGTTTGGGTGTGTGTGGCTTTGTGATGCGGTTTCATTTTTGGTATCAGGAAAAGTTATCAATGCGATCTAAGGTTTTTTGGTGAGTTTTCTGCTTTGCTGATTGTATGTTGTTTGATTCTTTTTTCGTGCTTTGGGTCTGCCTTTCTGATCTGCTTTCATATTTGACTTCAGCAAAAGAAGTTGTTTGAATTTTGGCCTTTCTGTCTGCAACCTGGCAAGCTGTTTGCGATCAAGGTATTTAACTTTTTTTTTTTTTTTGGTGCTGGTTCTTTCTCCGGTGATGGTTTCTTTGATTGGTCAAAAAATGAAATAAATAAATTATGAGATTTACTGAATTATGCTTCATTTAATTAAATCTTTGGTTTTGTTGGGTTGTCATTGTTTGGCCTGTTCTAAACTTATATGTCTTGGGTTGTCAATTTTTTTCGGTTGTCATTTTTTCCTTTTATTTTCTGCTGGAAGCACTATTATATTCATGCTAATTTTGATGAAAAGGAAATGTGTTTAATTGAAGGGTTAAATATGTATGAAGCAGGACATAGTATGCTATAATACATTTTTCCTTTTATTCTCTGTTTCTTTGTTATCGATTTCATAGGATTTGGGTTTGGGCAGATCAATCCTGCAAACCCGCTTCAATAACATGTCTTGGAACTCAATTGGTCACTATCAGCGCAGCCTCCATATTCTTGGTAATACACCAGAAGCAATCATCTCATGGCTTGAAAAGGATGGAAAGACGAATCCAGGGCAATCACATAGCATTAACTCATCAGACATAATCAACGTTTGGAAATGCTTTGTCTTATTTATTTATTTATTTGATTAACAATTCAAACTTATCTTTGTATTTATTAGTATCTTGATTTCCTTGACAATTCAAGCATATCTTTTTTGTGTTTCTTTTTTTTCTGAGTGTTTAATTTTATTTGAATTTCTTAATTTGTTCAAAGGATGCTTTCGTTAGTAGCCATCTTATTTAATGATTTTTTATTTCTTTTGGTTTTTGAGCACCAATGGTATTGGTGAATGGTGAAGAGGTTTGTATGGGTTCATGTATCTTAAACATGTAGTGAGAAGTGAGGGTTTTGTTTTAGTATTTTAGATAATTTGAGGAACATGTAGATACTAAGATTTGTGGTTGCTTTCTTAAACCATGATAAAGCAGTCCATGTAATTTTAACATAGATATAATTTTTTATCTAATGCATGAGTATATGAAATGTTAATACGATAATATATTGGGCAACACTATGTGATTTAAAATGCGAAGAGAGACAATGAACCATGTTTGATATTTTATTTGTGTTGGTTGTTTTAAATTTGAACTTTTTTGAGTTGGATTCATGTGTTTTGTTTAAGATATCATTTTTGGTTTATGAATGGTCTGCCAGTGTGAAAGTTTGCATATTTTTTATGGTTGGATTCATGGGTTTTCTTAAGCTTTGAAGTTCTTAGTTTTTATCAAGAAATTTAATCTGGGTTTCATTTATTTGTGAAACTAGCACTTTTTTGTGAAGATTTCAGTAAATGATTGCTTATTTGGCTTTAAATTTGATCTCTTTAAATTTCCAGGATGTTCTAGACTTTGTCAACAGTGCAGAGTTGTCTTCGGCAGAGCTCGATAGCAACTCTAGGTCAGTCTGAATTGCCAATAGATATGATTTTTCTTTAATTTATTCATCTTCTTTCAAATTTATGTGCAAATATTTTTGAAGCCCAAGTGATTCAAAGTTCAAATTTATTTGTAAAGTATAAGTGTGGGTGTGGACACCCAATATAACTTTTACATGGTGTTGCTATCTGGTATTTGATAGAATTATATTGGGGACTGTCTAAATTTTGGTTTTAGCTGCAGATGAAACGAAATAAAAAGGTTATAAATTAGAGGTATAATTTAATTATTATATTTGATGCGTCATTTGATTAAATGAATACAGTAGAAACATTGATTTGACGTATGTGCTTTCGTATGGAAAACTGAATTTTCTGTGTTTGTAAGTGCGTATATACTCAATATTTATTTTAATTACAATGGAATTGACTGAGAATTATGGAGAATTAGTGTAAGTTTACACACTTGAAGAAATAGAATGAAAATGTAAGTAAAGAAAAATTAGAATGTAATACATAATATCTTTGTGTGTGTGTGTGTGTGTGTAAGGGATTGATGACTAAATGTGCTACGTTAAGAGATTGCTTATTTCGTTAGTTAAGGGCAGCAGTTGATAGAAGCATAACCAAACCCAGGTAAGAGTCACATTTTGGTTGCCTTCCTATCCTTATTTTTTGTATTTTTCACTTAGCTCTATGTTGTTAACTGCAAATTTTGGTATTTTGTTCCCTTTAGTTTTATCTACTAATTATTGTTCTACGAATTGTATGCTTCAGTTAAATAATGATTAACTAGAATGTTCCAAAATAAATAAATAAATAAATAAAATCAAGCATTGCAGTGTTCGGGATGATAATTTATATCCAATATGATCATTAGCCAGTCGAGAACCTAATTTGGGAATTGGGTTTTAAAGTTTTAATAGTTTTGTTGTGTGTAAATTTCTTGCTTTGCCTACCAAGAATCTAATAACAAAAGGCTTAGTTATTTTCCCCAAATGGTGTTCAATTTGTTGTAGGTAAACAAGAGCTACTGGACTATTATGCACAGGGGAATGGAAGGAAAGTAAAAATTCAAGCTTTTAATACAAATTGGAAATTGAGCGACACTAAACAAACGATAGGTAAAACTAACCACTACTTTCTTTCCATTTAAATATAAATCAATTGATTAAGTCTGTGTTTTAAAATGAAGTTTCAATTGTTTTCAAATTCTAACAATGATCTCCTACACGTTAAGATAATCTATTTAGAGTTTTGATCCACTTTTGATTACACAGAATTTCAATTTTTTTCCATATAAAGTTTCCATTTTTCTTTAGAGTAAGAGAAGAAGCTTTAATTTGGGTTTACAATTTTTCCTTTTGTAGATTTTCAAAGTAGGACCAAGTTTTCAAAAGGCACTTCAGGTTCTGGAATTTTTTTTTTATTTTTTTGTTATGCTTTTGTTATATCAGGTTCTAAATTGCGCAACACAATTTTTCCCTTTGTCTAATCTACTCCAAAGAGAGGCTGAGCAAAAGGAGGAAAGGTTTAAGCAGGTATGTGTACTGTGTGTTTTCATCAATACTTTCTCAGAATGTGCCTTCATTGTTGGTTTCTGTACTATTTTTCTCTGTCTAAAAATTTGAAATAAATATGATCTTTTCACTATCGCTTCTCCTTCCAAGTTTTTTCCACATAAAATAAAACAACAAATAAATATTTTGTTTCCCTTTTTCTACTTTATTCTTTTGCAGCAAAACAAGCATGATTTTGTTGGTACTGCTTATTTAGTGAAGCAACGGTTTCATATTGTGAACTGTTTTGCGTGTTTATCACTTTATTTTTTATGGTTTCAGTTTCCTAAATGAAGTTTGACATGTATGGAATTTGACAATTTACAACCATGGACTTCATTTCACCCATGGACACCTATTTTGTTCCTTATTGTTGATAGAGTTGTAAATAAATTTGCACATGTATGTAAATAGTATTGTCTACTGTATATACGTATATAATTTTTTTAGAACTTCTATATGTGTTATACAATTTTCATTCCTGCAGCAACGCGCGGACACCCTTGCTAGTATATACTAAAACTCAGTTTCCCTAACACTGTTCATTAACAGTGAACTCCCCAGAATGCCCCAAAATTGCTCTTGGTTGTCCAGGTTTTCCACTTTTTGGCCAGTGAAATGGCGACATTGCCCTCGGTGGCCATGCGTCTATCATCGCTGATCCTTCTCCTTAGATTTCTTCGTTGCTTTTTCTTTCCGTTCGCTTCTCTCTCTACATCCTTAGCTTCTGTAAATTGTCTATCGTTTTTTCCCTTACACGCTGGTGTTGTTCTTGGTGTCCACCCTTTGCAAGTTTCTCCGTCCGATTATTCACCTTTGTTTTTCTTCTGGAAAATTGCTCGTTCATGAACGGTGGTGGGGCTACAGATTTCTGCCTTTTTCAATTCGATTGAAATCTGTTTTTTGCTTGCGTAGTCTTAACGTGTTTGGGTGATTTTTGCATTTTTTAGCGTACGTGATTTCGTTTTTTAGGTGGTTCTCAATTGGATTCCACAGTAAAACCCAGAAACTTAGAGGTATGAAAATTTCAATTTTTTTGGATTCTTAATTTATTTTCAGTGTTAATTTCTGATTTATTTTCAGTATTAATTGCTGAATAAATTATTATTTTTGATAAACCCACTTAGAATCTGATCTGGGTTTTGCTTCGATTCCATAGTAAAAACCTTGAAACTTAAAGGCATGAGGCACCTCCACGCCTCCCAATCTGCCGACGTTAGAGCGCTCACCACATGTTCGTCATTAATCCTCAAACAGTCGAACCCACTTCTCTCCGTCTCCGTCTCCGTATGCGTTTGCACTGTCGCACAATCTGTATGTCGTTAGAAACTACTTGAGCAGCTGCGATCTCAGGTAATTTACTCTTTTGTGTGTATTGGGTTGGTGAGTTATTGATAAAATCTGAAATGACTTAGATTTGATTTGGGTTTTGCATGTTTGTAGTTTTTAAAATTATGGTTTGTTTTTGGGACTGGAATTTGGATTATACATGATATAAAAAAATTTCATATATATATGATTTGAGTTTAATTCAGGAAAATTATTATCTATGTTGTATATTTCCAAACTCAGTTATTGGTTGAATATACTCATTGGTTGAAGCCTGAAAGTAAAAGACTGCTCCAAGGCAAGGGAGAAGTGTCGCTTCTTCAGTATTGGGAAGCTTTCTTGAAATAATGGTGTCAATGACCCTGAGTTGGTCTGTTTTGGTTTTGGTTATTGTTTTTCAATTGGTTTGGGATTTTTTTATGTTTGGAGTTTTTTGTTGTAATATTGTTTTCAATTCATCTGGAATTCAGTTTATGTTATGGGTTGCCATGTTTCTGCATTTAATTTGGTGTTTGGATGTTCATGTTATAGTTGTCATTTTGATTTCAAAAAAAATGTTATAGTTGTCATCGATTTTCTTAAAGAATTAATCCAAGTGATGATGCCATTTTTGATATATGTATAAATGTTAACACTTTACAGATTTTCAGTTTCTAAACAATGACATGATGCGACTGTTCAAAGTGCTTTTATCATTAAGGTGAGTGATTTTTGTTTTTAGCTTTTAGCCTTTTGTGATTAAGAAAGTTTAGTCATTTGTTTACCGACTTATTAATTGGTGAGAAGATGAAACATTTTGCTGCTGGTTGCTAACAAATTAATACAATCTCACAAAAGAGTGTTCGTTTTTTTTTCTTTGTTTGCTTGAATTATGTATTGTTTTTTTATAAAAAAATTCGTATATAGTTTTGGAAATTTTTATTTGGTTAGAGAAAGGGGAAGAATATAGGAAGAGGGGAATTACATGCTTTAATAAAAATGCTGCATTCTTATTTGTGTAATTGGATACAGGGTTGAAAAAGGAGTTGAGTGCTGTTGTTTGTGTCTTCATAGTTTCGTCAAGATTTGAAAAACAGTGAAAAGATATTAAACTTATGGATGGAAGTAAAGCAAACAAAATATTAACAAAAAATGCGACTGGGATGAGAGAGTTTTGTAAGAGTTCATTATGGTAAAATATTGTTGTGCATGACAGTATTAAATAATCAGTTTGATAAATTAAAATGGTGTGATTAAATAAGATTATCCGTTGGGTGCACCTATATATGCTTAATAAATTGTTAATGAGTTTTCAATTTCATGTTATTATTTGCTTTGATGATTTTGTTTCGCTTTTGTATGTTTAAAATTGTCATGCTCTGTGTATTTGAGAATATTTTTTTTTTAATTTAAATTTTATTTCTGTGTATGGTCCAGTGAACTTCTGGTTCCCTAATCATTTGACTTAATTTTATCTCCACTTCTAAAAGTTTTTCCTGTAATTTTCTGTCATAAAAGGATTGTTTTGTTGCAAAAAGCAAGGCCGATTTGTTTAGGGCTTGAAGATTTCTACGTTCACCAGGTTTATCTTCGACGTCAGGTGCTTTGTTCCATTAACAACTTAAAGTCAGTTGCAACCAGAGAGTTTGGTTATGATTGGGTAAAATAAGCTGATTATCTGCCTATTTCATGAGGATATCAATAGGGACTATCTACCCAATCTTTTGTGTGTAAATAGTATGTAAATACACATCAAATATTATCTTTTGTATGTAAATTTGTAAAAGATGTGAATATTAGAACAATGGCAATAGAACTGCCAATCCATATCGTTGTAAATAGATTTCTGTATGTATATAAATAGTAATGCATATCGTGTGTATTTAGAATTTTCTGCTTATTTTATACAGTTTTAAAATCCGTAGCATCGCGCGGGCACTATTGCTACTCATTTCCTAGGCTTGAAGAATTTCAAAGTTGAGCAAAAGTATGAGTTGCTCCTTTAGACAAAGATTTGGGATTTGAGCCAGCGTATGCGTATGACTCTGTATGAACTTGCTCCTGGAAATTCTTCCGGTTTTTTACCCAGTTAAATAGGGGCTTTCGGGCACAAACTTGTGTGTGAATTTTGTTTTTATGGACCCTTATTTATTGTTGTGTGAACGAACTTCATGTATGATTGTTTGAACCTAGGATTGCATCTACTACATATTAGATAACTCAGATATTTCATGTGTGAGTTGCTGTGTTTTTGCTTGACTAGCATCTTTGGCAGCTAAAACTGTTTCTAATATCTATCTGTTGTTAAATTTGGGTTTACTTTCCATAGAATTATGAATTCTTGTTCTATTATTCCATACATAGCAAACGATTCTGCCCGGTACCAGTTTCACTTCATCTTACAGTACCTTTTATGGAACTAATACACCATATTACAAAAGGAAGACATAACATTAAAAAGGAGTACAAAGAAATAATATAAAACAAGCAAAAAAACAACACCAAATGCATAACCTTATAGCGGACTTATGAATTTCCTATCATCAGCTTGATGGTTTTAACAATCTCAACAAACCATTCACGCTTCCTTGTGATCACCACATCAGAAAGAACAACTCCCACCACCAACCCACTTCCGAGACCAGCCAAAACAAATTTCCAATCAAATTCAAACGAGCCTGAATCATTTTCTTCGGTTTTTGAAGGCGACTGGCGAGGAGCCTTAGGATCTCCGCATTTCTTTGGCAAAGGATCTCCACACAATCCAGGGTTTCCTTCATATGAACTGCTACCCATTGAAATAAGTTGGGTTCCATGCGGTATTGGACCTGTCAAGCTGTTGTTAGAGACAATGAATGTTTCAAGGAATGTAAGCTGCGCGAGGCTTTGAGGGATTTGTCCTGAAAGCTTGTTTTGTGAAAGGTCCAGTGATTCAAGCCACGTTAAATTCCCGAAAGATGATGGGATGGGACCAGTTAGGAGGTTACCAGATATATTGAATGATATCAGCCCCTTTAGGTTCCCAATAAATTCTGGAATCCTCCCTTCAAATTTGTTGCTTGAGATGTCAATCGCTACAAGGGCTTCTTGAATCTTCGGATAATATCTCTCCACACCTTTGCTAGTTATCGTGATTGAGTAATATTCCTCAAATTTTATATCATCGTTAGTTGTGTCTACCTTCATATATGTTGACTGGTTTCGAGTGACACCCCTCATGACATTCCCGGAAAAGATCTTTTGAGATGGAAATTTGCCTCTGAAACTATTAAAAGATAGATCCAGAATTCGTAACTCAGGGAAATATTCAACACTGTCCTGATGAGGTTCCTCCATCAGACCGTAGAACGCGTTCTGGTGCATTTTCAAAACTTTTAACTTCGGAAGAGCTCCCAACCAAAAGGGAAAAACATCGCTGAATTTATTGTATGACAGATCAATAAACTCAAGTGTCGTGCAGTTCCCCAACAACCTTGGTAGTTGCCCTCGCAATTGGTTATGACTAACATCAATCACCCTCAGACTGCTTGTGCTGGTGTATATTTCAGGAAGAAAGCCGCTAAAAGAGTTGTTTCCAAGATATAAACCTAGCAGATCATCGCTGAAGAGACAGGGGGGAAGCATTCCACTCATATTGTTGTTGGAGAGGTCAAGGAACCGAAGAGAAGTCAGATTGCAGATCAATGGTGAAATTGCTCCATTTAGATTGTTATTCTTGAGCACTAAAACTTGTAGGATAACCCAAGGAAAGGCATCTGAAGGCTGGACAATGCTTGAAAGGAAGTTGTCAGAAATGTCCATCTCCTCCAAAGTCTCTGTGCTTGTGTTCAACATCCATTTTGGTACTTCATGCAAATTGTTGGAGGAAAGGTCCAAGGACACCAATGTTTCTTGATACTGCAGGAAACTTGGGAACTCTCTTATGTTGCACGAACTCAATCCTAGAAGTTCTAACCTTGGAAGTAGGCTTGCATTCGTACTTTCTGTTTCTGTGAAAATTTTCAAATTGGTACGAGATAATTGTAAATCGGTGAGTCCTTGTAACTTATGGAACACCATCCGGAACTCCACTGTACCAGTCAGATTATTATCAGATGCATCAAAAAACTCGAGATTGATGAGATTGGATAAGGAATTAGGTAATGGACCGGTTAACTGATTCGAAGACAAATCAAGTTCTGTGAGGTGGGTGAGGTTTCCTAGAGAAGGAATTGGACCGGTTAACTGATTCAAAGACAGGTAAAGTTCTGTGAGGTGGGTGAGGTTTCCTAGAGAAGGAATTGGACCGGTTAACTGATTCGAAAACAGATAAAGTACTGTGAGGTGGGTGAGGTTTCCTAGAGAAGGAATTAGATCGGTTAACTGATTCAAAGACAGATCAAGTCTTGTGAGGTGGGTGAGGGTTGCTAGAGAAGGAATTTGACCGGTTAACTGACTCGAAGATAGATCAAGTTCTGTGAGGTGGGTGAGGTTTGCTAGAGAAGGAATTGGACCGGTTAACTGATTAAAAAACAGAGAAAGCTCTGTGAGGTGGGTGAGGTTTCCTAGTGAAGCCGGGATGTAACCGCTAAACTGATTAGAGAAAAGTGACAGGACTTCGAGCTTGTTGAGACTACTGAGAGCCGAGGGAATGGAGCCACTAAAAGCATTCACTTCAAGACGGAGCTCCTTCAGTTGGGTGAGGTTTGCCAATGAACTAGGGACTGGACCGCTAAAGTTATTTCCTGAAAGGTCTAAATGTATGAGCTGCCTAAGATTACCAAGTGAAGATGGAACCAAACCCGAGAACTTGCAGTCTGCCAATTCCAGCGTGTTTAATAAATCAAGCTTTTCGATTGAAGAAGGCAAATTTCCGAATAAGCTAGTGGAGCTAAGATACAGTAAAGTGAGAGTACTGCTTGTATTAAATTCAGGAAAATGACCAGTTAGACCTTCGTTGGAAGACAAATCAAGGGACGACAAGTTGGCCAGCTGTGAAATTTGGGAAGGGATTTGGCCAGAAAAGGAAGAACCAGAGAGATCAAGATGCATGAGCCCAGGGAAATTCCCAATGCTAGTAGGAATTCGAGAGGAATTGAAGTTGTTGTCAGCAAGGTTCAGCACTTGAAGATGAACAAGCCGGAAAAGGCTGCTGTTGGAGTTGATAGAGCCCAGGAGACAGCTGCTACTAAGATCAAGGCCAATAACATGACCCGTCCTCTCATCACACACAATGCCATCCCATGCACAGCAGCTGACGTTTCGTCCCTCAGCTAGTTTCCATTGCAAAATCTTTGGATAAGCGCCTTCACAAAACCAGGCAGATCTGTCAATGATGAAGCTTTCCTTGAATTGCAGCAAGGCAGACCTCTCCTCGTCATGACAAGATTGCTGCAATGAGGAAACTGATGAGCTAACAACCACGAGATGAAACAACACAACTTTTGAAAGTGTATAACACATATTGGAAACAAACAAGCACCGGCGGAATCCCATTGTGTTTTGTTCTGCACTCCTCGATATTAGCATAAGAGTGAGGTTGTGACAGAGGTTTTTTTATAAACCGGTCGTAGGGGTTCCGCAAGTTAGTGTGTAAAACTTTTCTAATATCCCATCCAAGTTTCCCATCAAAATGGCCCCATACAACATGTCAGCAAAAAGTAAATACAAAATAAATCAACAACCCCTTTTTCCTTTTATTCAAATAAATAACTCAATTTCTTGTGGACTCGAATTTGATGGCTAGTTCGAGGCAAATAATAGAACCACTTGTCCAAGCGTTTGTGGCACGGTCAGCACTTTTTTTATTTTTTTATTTTTTTTTAATAACCGCTCATTATCATGTGAAAGGGTTACGTGCTGTAGTGATACATCCTCATGCGAAAGTGGCACGTACAATTCCTGTTAAACTTCTCCTACACAAGAAGCAAATAACCTAATTGACCATAAATGTAAACATAAATATTTAAATTTTCACCGGATGAACTAACTTAAAGATTTAAATTTTTATAGACGAAGAAATATACAATATTTTTCAGCCTAAGAAAGTTTTCACAGGGCATGCTAGAAATTTTCCATTATTAAACAAATACATGCTAAAATTGTAATTTGATTATGCTCTCCTTGTTCATGTGATTCTGCAAGGTGCGAGTGAAAACCATCCTCTTGGTGAATTAGTACAGGCTTGTCGTGAGCTGTTAGAGAGAGATTGAAATTGTGAACTCTGTCATGTTTATCATGAATTGAATTTTGTGGTTGATGAACAGACTAATTAACTTGAGTTTGTCGTATTTTCTTGGTCCAGTTTATTCGAACAAGCTCCTGCCTCTTGTCGACATATCTTAGGGTCGGACACTGCTGGAATATCTAGACTTTGTGATGGTTTGCTTTAGTTTTCTCTTATGGGCGTTTAACCTCGTTTGCTTTATTTATATCTTTAATAACATTAGTCACCTAAACAATGTTGTAACATTAGTCACCCGAGTGTTGTAGAAACAGACGAATATGTTTCAAATTATTGGTGCTAAAATCAGACAGTCCATATATCATCCCAATATTTTTCCCGAATGTTTCTTTCGCTCAATGCCAAGAGAAGTGATGATTACATGCCTATCATTCAGTTAGAAGCTATTACAACTCCGCCTGCGAGAAATCTAAACATTGAGTTAGAAGCTATTGCTGAATTAAAGTAACAATGATAGTTTCTTATAAAAAGAAATAATCCTGTTATGAAAAGTGTATAATTAAAATTTTAAAGTGCTAATAATAATTTTTTATTAAAAAAAAAAAGAAATTTTTTTTTTCTTCAAAGTAGGAGTTCCCTAACTTTCCATGAGCTTTCGCTTCAACGTGTTTATTAGTTCAACGATTTGAAGAAGTCCAAGTGAAGTGGACTCTACCATTGACCCGCAAGAGGTGCTACCATCACTATCCCATCCAAGTTTCCCATCAAAATGACCCCTTACAGTATGCATGTCAATAAAACAGAATAGGATTCTCTTCCCATTCCTTTTCATCTCTTCCTCTCATATTTTTTTATTTTGTCTTTTTTTTGTTATAAAAAATTAATATAAGATGTTGATGTGACCGTTCAAATAGGAAAAGAGGGAAAGAGAGAAAGAAACAAAAAAAAAAAAAAAAAAAGGAATCCTACTCCAACAAAATGTAAATACAAAATAAACCCCCTCTTCTTTTTATTCAAATAAATAACTCAATTTCTAGTAGACTCGAATTTGATGGCTAGTTCAAGGAAAATAATAGAACAACTTGCCTAAGCGTACGCGGCACGGTCAGAACTTTTTTTTTATTTTAAATTTTTAAATTTTTTTTTAATAACCTGTCATTATCACGCGGCATTCATATTTAATAATACATTATCATAAGAAGAATGCTTTACGCATAATAATGCAGTATTGGACAAGAAATGTCACGTGATGGTGAACAAGGACGAAGCCTTTACCGAGTGTGCTAGCTTAAAGATTTAAATTTTTATAAATGAAGAAACATACAATATTTTTTTCACATTATCAGCTAACCTAAGAAAATTTCCACATAGTGAGCCAAAAATTTTCATTATTAAACAAATACATGTAAATTGGAATCTAATTTTGTTCTCATTGGCCATATAGTTCTCCAAGGTGTGAGTGAGAACTATCCTCTTGGTGAATTGGAGGCTTGCCGTGAGCTGTTAAACAAAGATTGGAATTGTGAACTTGGTCATATTTACGATGAGATGCATTTTGTGGTTGAGGAATTAGCAAACTTGAATTCTCTTGGTCTAGTTTATTTCGCTCAAACTCCTACCTCTTGTCATCTCTTGGTGTCAGATGTTGCTAAAATCTTTATACCTTGTGATGTTTTGCTTTAGTTTCTCTTAGTTAGGTGTTAGCCCCATTTGTTTACCAAGAAAAATACATATTAAAATTTAAACGACGCCAAACTTGAAACAAATATGTCCGAGAAGTGATTAGAAAAAGAGTGTAAGAAAAAGAGATGGCTTATGAATTGTAAGATGAGAATTGTTATTAGCACTCAAAAATCTCATTCTACACTCCCCACATATGTATTTTCTTTCTAATTATAGAAAGTTTAGAGTTCAAAATAAGATTTTTAAAGTGCTAATAAGAATTACATTGTAAGATATAATCTTATATAATTAAACTAAGATAATTAGACTTAGTGGCTAAGTATATAGTACACTACATTAAAAAATTAATGAAAAATATATGTAAAATTTTCTTTTTTCACCAAAAGTTAATTTGTATATTGCATTAATTTGAATATTGGTACAAATGATAGGAAAGGGATCCTCTCTGGATCCCTTCCTTGTAATCCACTAAATTAAGGAATTCATATCGTTGAAAATTGATTTAACGGCCGAAGTTATTATAACTTTTAAAGTAGACCCTTATTTGTAGTCGTTTGATCAAATTTCAACAGTACGAGTCTTCTGATTCATTGGATTAAAAAGAAGGGATTCGAAAATGATTCCTTTCCCACAAGGTAAGATCTTATACAAAACCTATGTGCTATTCTAAGTGAATAGAACCTATAATAAAGCTAATTACATTTACATCTCACAATCACTTTATCCCAAAAATTGACAATTTCAGAAGCTACAATCACTCTCAATCAAATCGTGTGATTTCTTTTCCTTCAACGTTTAGCCCGTGGTAGCTTTTAACGTGGCTACAGACAGTACAACTGGTTGATACGTAATTCTGCCAGACTGGAAGCACCAAAGCTGGTTAAAACCTAAAATTATGAAGTGAAGGGCCTCCATAGATTGCTGACACTTGGAGCATGGGGTGGTGCGCCTCCATACATGGCTAACACTTGGAACATGGTGTGAAGGTCCTCCATAGCTGGCTGTCCTGGAACTTAGGGTGTGCATGACCTCCATAGTTAGCTAACACCTAAAACATGGTGTGAAAGGTCTCCATAGTTGGCTGCCAGAACATACGAATTGGGATTCTCTCTCTGCTCATTCATATTCTCTTCTTTCTTCTTTTCTCATACGCTTACTTTTTATCTTATTATTTTTATTAAAAAATTATAAAATATTAACGTGATTTAACGGTAATGTTTATGTATGGTGGACAGCCTTAAATATTATTATCATTTATCATGACAGCCGTAAAAGAAAAAATAGGACAAAGGAACCTAGGAAGAGCCACCAGTACTGACAACTTAGGGTGGAAAGTAGCTAGAAAAATGGGTTTCGCACAGACTTTTCGCACAGACCGTATGCATGTTATTAATATGGACATGAAAGCCACACAAAAAGAACTTGTGAAAATGAGACTCTATTAGTCAGTCAACACCAACTCATGACACTCATGAGCCAAGTCACACAATTGAAAACATAGTGACCGTGTTACATAAGGTAAATATTGTATAATTATTCAATTTTTTTGCAATTTTTTTATATTTTTCGGTGGAAATAATCCAATATCAGTTCACATTCAATTACATCTTCGCCATCTTGAGTAATGATTTGTCCAAGAACACCATCATTGATTGGTGGTGGGGTTCCATATTGACTATCGTGAGGTCTTTCTTGTAGTCAATATATTCATAAGTTTTTTTCTCAATTTATTCTTTCATGAATTGTTGAGAATGAAAAAATGTTCAAGTAAATAACTCAATTTATTCAAATAAATAACTCAATTTCTAGTAGACTCGAATTTGATGGCTAGTTCGAGGCAAATAATAGAACCATTTGCCCAAGCGTTTGCGGCATGGTCAGCTCTTTGTTTATTTATTTATTTATTTTTTTTTTAATAACTGGTCATTTTCATGTGAAAGGGTTACGTGCTGTAGTGATACATCCTCATGTGAAAGCAAGAAGCAAATAGCCTAATTGACCATAAATGTAAACATAAATATTTAAATTTTCACCGGATGAACTAACTTAAAGATTTAAATTTTTATAAACAAAGAAATATACAATATTTTTCAGCCTAAGAAAGTTTTCACAGGGCATGCTAGAAATTTTCCATTATTAAACAAATACACGCTAAAATTGTAATTTAATTCTGCTCTCCTTGTTCATGTGATTCTGCAAGGTGCGAGTGAAAACCATCCTCTTGGTGAATTAGTACAGGCTTGTCGTGAGATGTTAGAGAGAGAGTGAAATTGTGAACTCTGTCATGTTTATCATGAATTGAATTTTGTGGTTGATGAACAAACTAATTAACTTGAGTTTGTCGTATTTTCTTGGTCCAGTTTATTCGAACAAGCTCCTGCCTCTTGTCGACATATCTTAGGGTCAGAAACTGCTGGAATATCTAGACTTTGTGATGGTTTGCTTTAGTTTTCTCTTATGGGTGTTTAACCTCATTTGCTTACCAAAAGACAAATACATGCTAAAATTTAAACAAGGCCAAACTTGATGCAAATATGTACACGAAGTGATGAGAAAAAGGGTATAAGAAATAGAGATGGTTAATGAATTGTAATATATAATCTTATATATAATTAAACTAAATAATTAGGCTTAGTGGCCAAGTATATATTGTGCACTACATTTGAAAATTAATGAAAATTACATGCAAATTTTTATTTTATTTTTTATTTTATTAAAAGCTACCTAGGCTTTAAGCCATGGTACTC